GCAATCACGTTTCATTTCGTGAATCGTTGCACTTTCAAGTTTCTTATAAATATCCATGACGATTTCAGAATTTCAACATTCGAGGAGTAATACACGAAGCAAAAGGCATATGGAAGGCATGATCCGATGGCCTGCAATTAATGTCATATATGTTCTTCTGTTGGCATTCAGCAGTCTCCCATTGTAAGGAGAAAAAAATAGGCCGATCGGATTTCTTGTCCGGGATTCGAAGCCAGATCTTCCATTTACCGAGCGCTGCTCTATCAATTGAACAATCCAGGCCATCGATAGATTTTTTTCTTTTTTTTCTCTTCTTAGGCCTAATATTCGAGCAGCGGTTACTGTCGTTGATGTATAAAGAGAAAGAACACTCGTGGTGATTCTCGTATCTTTGATTTCAACTTTAGATTTAAAGAACCGGTAGTATTACATATTCTTGCAGCTTCTCATTCTTACCAACGATAAGAAACATATTCGGTAGTATAAATTAGTGCATAACATAAAAAAATAAAATTTATAGTATACAAAGCGGAATGAAAATATAAACATATGCTGCAAGTTATTTTCAAGTCTCACGGCATATATATAGAGTTATGTTATATCAAATCTTACGAAATAAGTTGTAAGGAACAAACTCTAGGACGAAGTTTAAATAGAGATCTATGTTTCACTATTGAATTCATTATTTTATCTATCGTATTCACGTGTTTCATTTAAACTTAAACTCCGCCGACGTAAGCAACAGCAAGCAATATAGAATCAAAATTGACTGGCTGAGACAGAATGAACAAGCTGCTCCATCAATGCTGTAAATATGCATGCCGAGAAATTAGATGGTTGTTGCAAATGTTAGAGCGTACTTAGTCTCTAGTACTCAGCCCGAAACACGCTGTACGAGACGTTGTTCCCGAAATGACTCATTTCTTGCGAGGCTGTGAAATGTTCCCTGGGAATTCGGACGGATTCCTCGAAACGGCATTAACCGTAAGAAACCGGCAAAACCAATCTTCTCGCCCGGTCGTTCTCGCAGTTCCTTATAAGCCAACGTTTTCTTTGCGCGCACACCTACTTACTAATTTTCTCTCGGTCTCAGCGCGCGAAGAGGCGAGCGTCGACCTTCTTCATAACCGTACATTCCCGACGGCCCTTTTTACAGCGGCGCGTGTTCAAGGGAATAACATACTTCCCCTCGTCGCAGCATTGAAAATCCACTGGTAATGGAATTTGATAATGGCGGAAGGTCCACGTAGCTGGCTTCTGTCACCTGGCTCGCGAGATTATCTCGACATCTCGTTTCTAATTACACCAGCTCGCGATAGCATTTGAACACTTGTCGTTAAAGACTTCTGTACTACGGTATAGATTTTACGTGTTACGTGAGACATTTCGATACTGTATCCACAGCGTCCTAACAGAATTATATTCGTGAAATTAGGAACCAATGTAAAACTCACACGTTCAAAATTAATATTCGAATTATTTCGCTTATTTTAAGTGTGTAACAAGAGTAAAAAGCGGCCTCTCCGAACACCGAGGCTTATGTACATTGCTGTTCATAATCTCGCTATAGTGAATTCGACGCTAATGAAATTTTGTAATATCGATCACGTTTAAAACGCGTAATACATTCGCGAGATGTAGCTAAAAATGTTCAAACGCTTTCACGAGTTCCACTGCAGTTCGATTCGTTCTTCTCTCCGCTCTCTTTCCCCGGCTGTTTGATGGAAACAATTTGCAATCAATTAATCCGAAGAAAGAATTGAATTAAGGCGCAGGAAAGAAAAAAAAAGAGAAAAGCGTTCCGAAACTTTTAGCAACGCGGAAGAGTTAGAATACTCGCATCGCCTCTGTATCACTTGTAATCCCCGAGGATGACGACGTAGGGTCTCATTATTCGATATGGTTAAATACCTACATTACAGAAAATGAAATGTTCCTCGTAGTCAGCGGTGGCGATGTATGGTTTAACTAACTTCCACGCGAGCGAAATTTCACGAAAGTTTATATCTGCCGTGAGCATATTTCTACGTCGGTATACAGGTGTTGTTCTCTTTACTGAAAAATATTTATTGGTCTTGGGATCGACAAAAAAATGTTGACAAAATATTTACTTCTGACAGTGGCGGAGGACGTAAGCCAATGAGAAAAAAATCTAATGAAAAAGCAAAAATTTCATGGAGATTTAAACTTAGAGTCAGACTATCAAACGTCAGACTATAATTAAAAATTGTTAAATCAGTTAAATTGTAGCATAGGAAATATTCCTTTGAATAAAATTCCTTATGCAGGTTGTATCAAAAGTATAATTTATAAGAAATTCAACACTGATTTATGTTTTCTCGTACACGAAATCCTCGAACCGCTGAAAATATGGGAAATACATTATTGTTGGAAAAATTTCTCAAAATTAACCATTACGACTTACCATATAAATTGAAAAGCACGATAAGCCAAAACTTAATTTTCCTATTCTGTTCTAAATTTCATTAAGTCCAGTCTCAAATTTTATCAAAATATAATCAAATTTTTAAGTATTTTATCCAACACACACGTGGCACACGCGAGATATCTTTCACGATAACCGAGCCGAGATACTTTCGCGAGTTACTGTACATTGGAAACGACAAGATAAGAATTCTCTCTGCGGGTAATCATTCAGACGGGAGACGGAATCTAAAAATTACGAGTAACAAATCTTTCGCGGACGTAGACACTGAGACTAATGTACACAGAAAGGAAAGGATCCTTCAAGGGGAAAAGTTCTTCTCTTCTTTGCTTAACCTCTTTAACTTTTATAGACCAGTCCCCCCCCCCCTTGAAACTTTC